CAAGTTACAATACGGTTTCTTCCTTCACGAGCTCTTTGTTTCTTCGAGTGCTCCCACCAAATAGATGTGTGTTTTTTTAGCTTGATGGCAACTAGCTTCACCTTCCGATCAGTTGGTATTTCCTTTTAGTCAAAGATTCTTTCTACCGCGTGTAGCCAATCCATGAATTCTTTCAATTGCATCTTCCCTTTGAATTCAGGAATTTCAACCTTCACATAGGAATCTTGCTGACTTTCATGGAACCTTCGATACTGACGTCAAGGAAGTCCCTCCTCACTCGAAGCATGACTTCGAGCACCAGCAAAAGGATTAACATCCTCTTCATCAGAGAGAGCATCTTCTCAATCATGACGCAAATCATCACGTCCCAAAAGTTCGAAGCGTTGCAAACGCTCCTACAGTTGCTGCACTTGTCTCCTTAAATCATCCACCTCCACGTCTCGTAGGTCTCTTTCTCGAGTTGAAGAAGACTCAACGTTTGGTCCACGTCGATGACGACCAGCCATTAAACCGTGCTCTGATACCAATTTGACGCCGGAGAAAGTGTAGAGAAGTAGTAGGCAACACAAGTGAGAATTTTCGCCACTCGTAGGTGATGAATTAACCTAAGAGATAAGAGCAATACTCGCTACTCATAGGAATCCACATAAGGAATAAGAGTAAAACAAGAAATCCTTCTTGTTCTTAAGCCAAAAGCTCAATTAGTTTTGAATCAAATAAGTCTTGCTCTGTTATTCATTATAGAGTGCTTAAATAGATGAGCATGGAAAAACCCTCCAAGTATGAGTAATTACTAAGACTCTTCAAAAAGAAAAAAGACTCACGGGAAAGACAAATAACATTTACTAGAAAACAACCATAAATAAATAAAGATTCTAAAAACTTGAACGTCATTAACTAGACCTAGAAAATATATTAGAATTAAATGTAACCGATTAAAGATCTCCATGATTTTACCATTTCCAAGAAGTTAAATTAATAGGCTTCATCTTTTCAAGGTACCGAATAGCCTCCGGTATGTCGTAATCGATGATATCGACAACTTGTCAACAACTTGACATCTTCAAGGAATGCTCCGGCATTACATATACAGGAGGTTAGGTGAGGGTGTTATACCTCCTGTGGACCGAAATTATGAAATTGGGAGTTACATCTACTGTGGACTCGACTCTCGTATGTGCCTACCTGAAAGTTCCCTCATTCCCATGTGTGTGGGGAGAGAGAGAGAAAGAGAGGGGATCGTGTGATTCCATGTGAGGTGTGACATTCTTTAACGAAAAAATGTGCGAGGTTGGTTTTGTGAGAAATACGAGCTCCGGATTAGGAGGGAGCAATGTTTTAAACGACACGAGAATACGGCACGAGTTTATTGGGAGGGACCCCGTTCTCGACATGATCAGGCATGGTTTTTAACTCGAAATAGACACGTTGTTGTCCCAAAAAAACAGAAGTGTCACAACTTCCATACGGCATTTACTTGAGTGTCATAATTTTTTTTTATTTGCTTACTTTTTTTTTTTGGTAAGGTCTTATTTGCTTACTTAAGTGCTACAAATTTTTAAAAAATTGATTACTTAAGTGCCATCGGCGATTTGCCTCGCCGGAAAATCCAACATGGATGCTAGTCGTCTTACATGACATCGTCGGCACTGACATGAATAATTTTTTAATTTTTATATTATTTGATTATTTTTTTTGAAATTTGAAAATTTTATTTTCCTTTTACTTTTTTCTGTCCCGGTGAGGGTCGCCAACGGCCGGCGTGGCCACGAAGGCCTTGGGCGAGGCCATCATGACCTCGCTGATCGAGGGCGACAGCGTGACGGCCCTTGCCAGATCTAGGCTAGGGCCTTCGTAGCCCCAACACCAAGGGCGAGGCCTTTGCGACCAGTGAGTGTCGTCGGTGAACCTTGCCAGCACAGAAAAAAGATAAGTAAAATAAAAAAATTCAAAAGCAATATCCACGTTGAAATGGAAACTTAAGTAAAAAATCCACGTAGGACGATTTGCCAGAAATGGAATTCAAATAAACGATTTTACTCCGATGCGGCGCTTAAGTGAGCGAAAAAAAAAAGTTATAGTACTCAAGTGAGCGCCGTACGAAAGGTTATAGCAATTTTGATGTTCTTATCCATCCATTTTTTATAAGAAAGAGCACTTCTATTTAGGGATAATGACACAAACAATCCCCGAACTTTGGCTCAATGTGCAATGCGATCCCCGAACTTTTAATAACTTTGTCCAATATTCAATGTGGTCCCTAGACTTTTAATTTCTTCAATGTGGTCTCATAACTTTTAATATATGTTCAATGTAGTCCCTAAATTATATGAAAATGTTCAATGTAGTCCTTCCATTAATTCAAGTTCATGGATTACATTAAATATTTTCATATAGTTCATAAACTATATTAAACGTGTACTAAAAGTTTAGGGACCATATTCTACATTAGGTCAAAGTTTAGGGATCATATTGAATAAATTAAAACTTCAAGGATCAAATTGCATATTTGGCCAAAATTCATGGATTGTTTGTGTAATTTTTTCTTGTGTTTAATCATGGTTATGCATTTTTCACAATGGCATGAAATGATATGAATAATAGTCTAGATGAAAACACGAATTGCCGGCCCTACTGTAGATAAAGTGGAATTCTAAACGTACTAAGAAATCTCATAGAAACTTACTTGTTAAGACATGTACATGACATGTTACGGTCGAAAATAAATGGAACCTGTGCATCAAATGAGTGGGTTGGTCAACTACCCGAAACAATATTGCCACTATCACCTCGTAAAAAAAATTTAGCAAGATTTCTTGGCAGACACAGGGTTTCTTCTACGTTTAAGTTCATAATGTCACGATACGAGCTATTTTGCTTCGTTTCAATGTCAAAGTTACTCAAGAGAGGAGGTCAGATCTATTGGTAGCTGACTTCTTTTGATAGAGATTGATTGGTCAACCGTATTATCTAAACGAAGACTTCGAGGCTCCGTTTATTTTGCAAAAATAAATGATTTGAAAAATATTTTTTTTAAAAATAATCGTTTATATCGCTCGATATGATTAGTCAATGAAATTTTTTTTATTATCGACAACAATTTATATTTAAACATTTTCGTGGACGATGAAAATATTTTGTTTCTCGGATAATAGATGATTTGGAAAAAAAAATTCCTAAAAATGATCGATTATATCGATTACAAAAATGAATGGATGAAATATATTATTATCGTCCAAACAATATTTAGACATAAATTATTATTGAAAATAAAAATATTTTTATTCATTCATTTTTTAAGCGATACAAACGATTATTTTTAGGAAAATATTTTTCATATCATTCATTTTTCACGAAACGAGCGAAGCTGAAATGTGATTCGTTTTTTAGTGTCACAAAAGAAAAGCACAAATATCTCATGATTTAAGTACTATATGATTTGTAGTATAAGTTTATCTAAACCTTCTAGGTTAACCCTAAGAAAACCTTGGGCCATAAGGGCCTTCCATGAATTCCTTGAGGAGGTCTTTCAAATGCAATACTGTTTGTTTGTTTTTTGGTCAAAATGAAATTGACATGACTCTTCGTACAGGGAACGTGGATGAGTCAAACAGGGAAAGTCCAAATTTTCATACAACATTAATATATAATTTTTTTATAATTTTTGAAATCTGAAAAATATTTTAAATTTTGACCAAAAAGCGAAAATTCACTTCTTGCCCTTGCTTAATCATAAAGAAAAGGGCCGGGTTTGAACTCTGTAGAGCCAGTAGCACAATAGGTAGAGAGCACAGTGACTTCTAGAATAATAGTATTATCTAATTTTATTCTACGGGATTAAGTTAATCACATCTTAAGAACCTGTGGACTAATACTAGATCCCAATCCAAAAACACAAATCTTTATATTTTTTTTACACTATGATTGATATTATTGCATTCATTGTCGTAAAATGAGCTTGTAATTTTTTTAATTTTTTTTCAAAATCTATCATAGTGGGCTAAAATGATTGTCCTCGATCTGAAATGTCCCCACATGACCTTAAGCTCAACAAAATGGGTTTCATCGGAAAGATGAGAAACAATGAACTCAAATTGGGATTATCTGTGCAGAAAACAAATTCATATGCTAGGCCTGGCCCAATTGCAATTCCTTCGCTGGGCCTAATATTTCGATTGGCGTAGTCTGTAATTAGATCATCTTGATCGTATTATTACACACACATTTGATCTTTGTGACAAGAATACCCAAAAAATTAATTAAAAATTAATTAAAAAGTCCACTAAAATAAAGTTTTGAAGTCAAGTAACAAAGTTTTGTCAGTTTTTAAAAAGTTAATGCTTGGTTTCTGACTTTATTAAACACCGATTTGAAATTTACTAAAATTGTACACGTGTCGGCACCTAAATCCTGCTTTGTGTAATTACTTGTTTACACTGCCAACGTACCATTTGAAGGTCTTTTATTAAAAAAAATTATTGAGCTTTCCTAATTAGCATCTTAAGCATTGCTAGATAGCAAATGAAGTATACAAAAGTCTCTGGTAATTTCTAGATGCATACAGGTTGTGTCAATCATAGTCTTTACATGTGGCCTCCTTCATGTGATAACAGTACACAAATGTTTTCTTTGTGCAATATTTGTCAAATACACCAAGAGCCCCCATCATAATTATTAGTCAGTGCTTGAAGAAACACAGTCATTACCAATGATGTCAAATCATCAAAATTCAGCGCATTTTGCAACCCTCATCATAAGCTCCAATAGCCCCCCACCAAAGAACCAAATCCCCACTCACGAACTTCCATGAAAACTTGAAGCCCTTTTCATGATGACCCATGATTTAGTTTGAGCTAATTTCTAATTTCAATTCTTTTTATGGACTAATGTTGTTTGAGTCATTCATGTGGATGATTAGTTTATTTAGGAAACATTTCTCTAATGTGATGAAGAGTTAGACCCTCTTGGCATCAACCATAAGCATGGCCGTATGGGGCACTCTATTATTTCCTTGCATATGCTCTCCCCTTCTCTCTCTCTCTCTCTCTTTCACTCAATACTATCTTTGCTTCTAATCTAAGCTTTCACTACATGTCCACTCTATATCGCTATATATCCCCCAAATAGCAAAGCTGGGCTAAGCCGAAAACCCATCTCCAAAGCAATGACGTCGGTCTGCATAACGAACTGCCTGAACGACACCGTGTGCCGCGACCCCCGAGTCCCGGTTCGAGCCACATACGTGAACCTCTACAAGTGGCCCGAGTCCGACGCCGAGTTCGTGCGCTCAGTGACTGCCCAGGGCGGCGACCAACACCGCTACCGCGCCAAGGTCGTCGACAGCATCTCATGCCGGCAGATATACCTGAGGAGCTATCCCTTCTCCAAGGAAGAGGACCAAGTGAGCAAGACCAAGTGCTTCGGTAGAGAGAGGAAGAGGAGGGACAGCAAGAAAGAGACAACCAGAGGGAGGACAAGGGGGAAGAAGAGATGCATGATGTTGAGGAGGGTGAGGGAGCTGTCGTGGAGTACTGTGTCCAGGATCTTCCACAGGTTGCTCTCTTGCTCTGCTAGTGTTGATATTGTGGATCCCAAGTAAGAAGAAGAAAGAAATTGGTTCAGAAGTCACTTGGTTTGCTATATGTGTAATGTAAGTAAGAACGTAAAAGAACACTCTTTATTCCTTTCTTGCTATATTGCAATATAAATTCTCTCTTGCATCATGAAAAGCTTGAATCATAAACATTGTTACTTTCTTTTTTTTCTTTGTTTTTGTATTTGAGCCATTGGATGAAGTTTTCAATAGGAATATTTATTATGGTCACCGCTAGTGTTCAGTGCAGAGAATAATGTGTATTTAACCTGTTTTAGAATATCCCCATAAGAACTTGCAGATAATCAGTATTTTGATTGGTGAATTATGAATATGGACATCGCCGCAGACATTGTTTCTACGCTAACTGGCATAACAACAATTTCTTTGAACAATTTATGGTTTCCTAGAGACAACTCCTATGTGTACATTCATCTGTCTCACCCTCCTAGACAAATGTTGTGGGAAAATTACCCAATCAGTTATAAATCTATTATACGGATGCCAATTCAGTCCTAAACTTTTCAAATTTGGCCAATGGTCCTAAACTTTTAAGTGAAATTCCAATATAGCCATTTCAGCCAATTTTCACCAAAAATTGTTGAAGTGGCCATCTAGTCATCGCCGACTGCCCTACATGGTATAACGCCACTTTAGCAGTTTGCCACAAAAATTAATCGGAAAGACTTCATAAGAATTTCACACAAAGGTTTATGACTAAATTGGCATAATTAAAAATTTTGTGACTAAATTGGCACCCGCACAGTTGATTTAAGACTGATTCGACAATTTCCCCTAAATGCTGTCATAGTTCCTAGTTCACCAAATATGGAGGGCATAAATGCAGTCCCTCGTAGTATGTATATAAAGGAAGGAAAAAAAGTAATTATTGCAAAATCGAAGTGATCCGAGTCCTATGGCTCGAGGCATATGCAAGTAAACACACAAGTCCAACTGCATTTATGGCCTCCATATTTGGTGAACTAGGAACGATAACAACGTTTGTCCAGGAGGACGAGACAGACGAGACTATAAACAGGAGTTAGTCTCTAGTCAAGATCATGTTAGTTGATGCCATCGATCTCTTGGTACTTTGTCATTCTGGTTTTATGTTTTGTTACTGCCTCTAATCACATTTGACTCAGCTCCGGGTAATGACAAGTTATCATTCACTGAGTAGTAATCCAAAGTAAGGGGATAGCGACCTCTGCCCAAATGCGTACGTCTTTGGCACAGAATGTGTTGAGAGTGTGTGGACTGCGTAGCAATTGGGTTCCGAATTTGCTGGCAATGGTTTGTTCGAACATGACATCTTATGCCATTGATGTTGAAGCACTTAAATAGTATGAAGTCCCATTCCACGGCATTGATGACGGGTCATTATGAAATGAGCTCACATGAACCAATTGAGGCTCGTAACATTTTATCTAAAATTGTGATAACAGAAGAGCCATATCTCAATTTAAACAAGAAAAGTGTTAAAGCATTTGCGGATACTAATTTCCATTAGGATTGGAATCTTATAAGATTAGGGTAGTGAATTTATCTTGTAAAATTACCCCTAAGATCAAACTTCCCTCACTGTTCTAAACGATTTAGGCATCAGAACCCTGCCCAAGAAAAAACCCTAATTTTTCCCCCTCTTTTGTCTATCTCCCATCTCCCAGCCAGCCGCTTCCGTCAACCCCTCATTGCGTCTTTGTCGCTATCGCAGCTTGAACGCCGCTATAGTGCCTCCCCATTGTCACCACCCCGCTTCCCAGCCACCTCATCATCCATTTCCTCTGCCCCATTGAGGATTGCAATTGAAGAGGTCACGACCACCGTCGACGATGCCCAAGCCTGACGAGGCCCGGGTCTAGGCTCGGCATTTGCCAGATCTTGCATCGTGAGCCTGCCTTGATAAACTACGAGGACAGAACGGATGTAGATTGAGACTGAGAGATGGTAAGGGCTCATGGGGTAGGCGACAACAAGTGCATGCAAGGTTGCGCCGATAGGGGTGAGGTCTAGCAGCGTCGGCATGGTGGCATGGTGTGAGGGGAGGTCACGTCTGGGAGTGGGTAGGTCGATTATGCTCCAACTGCTTGCAGATGTAGGAGGACAAGGTTGGTTAGGCGAAACAGGGGAAAATGAGACAAAATAAGGGCCAATTGGTCTTGAGCAGTTTATTTGCCTAGCAATGTGTCCAAATCTCAAAAAATTTACCCGTTCAAATTAGAGGATCTCAATTAAACTAGGGCTACAATATTTAGCAATAGGAGCACTAGTAGCACATGTCATCCAATCACTGCAACAGGAAACACAAGTTCCACACGAGAAGCCAAAAATTTGAACATGACATTCGATGTGTGAGACGTATCACCGTGTTCTCTTTGTAATAAAATACGCCTGTCATTCAATAACGATAAGAAGAACAAACACAAAAAACGAATATGATGTTGACTAGATACACAAGTCACAAATTACCTCACCACTTATGGTCAATGATGTCGTAAATTTAGACCATTGATCGCCGGATAACCCTCCCTAATTCTCTGGCTCACTCTCACTGATCCGACTCCCAGTCGACTGGGCGTACGCTGCGGAAGAGGTCGTAATTTGGCGAAGAGGTCATAATTTAGCAACAACCTACACGCCACAGCCAAATCACAGCACTGACTTGTTCCCTGGAGCAATTTCACTGACTAACGCGTTCGCTCGCTGGTTGAAGAACCAGCAGCAGTTGCAAATTCCAAAGTGAGGAACAAGTTGAGGCCACAGCTTGGGTTGCTTGGCCAATTGCCTCAATCGACTATGCATAATCCTTGTGCTGATCTCTCTCTCGGCCTACCTTGTCAGTAGCCGGTCAATGGCCAGTTCCAACAAAATGCTTGTTCTCCTGCTCTAACACCCACTATGTTGGCTTTCTCTTTAGTTCCTTTTTCTAGTCCAATCTTGTCCAAAGGAACGTGCACCGAGCATCACAACGTTTCGCAATGCCTGATCTTATATGGTTTATATGAAAGGGGAGTAAAAGTTTTTAAAATTTCTACACCCCCATGTCCTAGCAGAGACTTCACGCAAACCGAAAGAAACTACAGTGTTGCGGCATTCTACTAAAGATCACTCTTGGACCAAGTTGAATGCAATGTCAGTTCTACACATTCGTACTTGAGAAGGTAGCTAGAAAAAGTGCAGACAGCAGTCAGACAGGTTTTGGCAAGGAAACCCAGTGGTCGTGGTAAATTCCTTATACTAAGTTATCATCCTCCTCCATCAATCCCTTTGCAGTAACTGCAATAGAATCATTAGGAAGATGCTCAAGGTGCAGTTCTTGCACGCATTCATCATATCTCCGCCTCTTATGTTGAGCTCTAGATACAGTAGGCCCACATGATATAAACATCCGTGTCTATCAAACCGTCCGCAAAGCTGTTTAACTTAGAGGTGATGAACGAATATCTTCTACCAGGTTATTGGCCTCAACTTTGCCTATCAAAAAGTCACTGGACTCAACATTGAATAACCACATTCTGAATCTACCGAAATCATTATGCCAAATCATCTTAATTGAGGGGTACAAACACGAAGGCATTAAAAAATACTTAGTATTTGTAAAACAAAACTCTGTTATGCAGCATGCAAAAGGCAATAGGTACAACCCATATCCAATTCTCCATGCTCACGGTCATGTCACATGCATAGTAAAACAGCACCATCATTTCAAGGGATGATTGGGAACAGAGGCATATACCTCATAGTCATTTTTCCTAGCTCATTTACTGAGGATCACACCGTAACAAAGTCATCTGACATGGCAAGCGCATGCCTATATGAATATGCTCAGAAATCATGAAGAAATCATTTCTTAGAAACTCAGCACAAGTGTAAAGCACTAAATGCTTAACATAACTGCCGGATGCTTAATCTAGTAAAACTCAGGCCTTTCAATTCTATAAGGGTAAATGCACTGGCCCAAGATATACAACTGGAGAGATGCACGTGGAAAGCATAACATCTGAATAAATGATCCTAATGTTATGTATTTAGGGTCAACTTAATTTAAAATGCAAACATTTGAGCCCAAATCTCTTAACTCACACTACACTTGTATTTCATTTAATGCAGCACTCCCTCCCTCCCTCCCTCCCTCCCTTAACTCACACTAAACTTGTATTTCATTTAATGCGGCACTCCCTCCCTCCTTCCCTTCCCTCTCTCCCTCCCTCCCTATCTCTCTCTCACACATCTCCACTCCCAAGGAATTCAAACTAACATAATAAACTCAGATGCATAACCTGATTTCTTTCTAGAGATTCATTAAAAATCTAAACACCTGGGAAAGGAGTATTTTTAAAGGAACTGCATATGTGGGAGATCGTATTACGGGTGACCTTATTGCACAGTTCACGGAGCACTTGTGTGTGAGAAGTATAAACTGAACTCTCTTAGTGAGTTTGCTGCTACAATCACTGATGTATAACTTTTCTATAGCCTACTAGCATATCATGTCCAGGGTAGAAAACTCGACTCAATAATGGTTGATAGATAGAGCCAAATGTCTGACAATTCATTGATTAATAGCTAGATGAAAAGTTCCCCTGTTTTCTGAACAAAGATGAGAGATGGAGGGCTCCTTCACTGAAACATCTCAATAGACCAGACAACACAGAGAAAGCCGAGTTTGCATGAACACAGATGCAGAAAAGAATTCCGGCATCACCAACCTGTATCTCTTAAGGTTGTCTAAAATAAGCATGAAAAAAACTGAAAATCATCACATTATGATCAAGGAACAGTTACAAAAAGATACAAACAGGCAGGATATGGATTTAAATCAAAGATCAAGACTCAGAGACATGTTGGCGAAGATAGATTGAACCAATTCTACAACAAGATTTCACAAAGAGTGGGGGGCGATAAGAAAAGTAAAATCATAAGATACAAATGATATTTGCTCGCTAGTGAGAGAAATCTAGAACATCAGAGAGCTCAACTTCAACCAAAAGAAAATGCAGCGTGTTAAAACAGGAGTTGGAACAGCAGACCTGATGCAACAGTTCCATTACACCCGCTAATCGATATTCCAAAGACCATCTGGTCCTTCCCTGGGATGCATCACGATCACCCATAGAACAAACAACAAAAACCTTGCGACCTCAAGAACTCAAAGCTCGAACTCTTCTTCTCGTAGGGCC